CATATGAAACAGTAACAAAGATGATGATACATGGACCATGTGGCAATATAGCTCCAAATGCCCCTTGCATGCAAAATAGCAGATGTTCAAAAAATTATCCACGTCAATTTTGTACAACTACTACAGAAAATAAAGATGGTTATCCAGTATATCAACGGCGGAATAATGGAAGCACTGTGAAAGTTAAAGGAATTACACTAGACAATCGATGGGTAGTTCCTTATAATCTCTACCTTGCTTCTAAGTATAATGCACATATAAACGTAGAGATTTGTTCATCAATTTTGGCTGTTAAGTATCTTTTCAAATATGTATACAAGGGACATGATCGTGCCTTAGTTAAGTTGACCTCAGGAAATAGTACTGAACAAAAAATAAATGGGATAGATGAGATACGACTCTATATTGATGCCCAATATATATCAGCATCAGAGGCTTCTTGGAAAATCTTTCATTATAGATTGCATGATGAAAAGCCGGATATTCAACGACTTCAAGTACACCTTCCAGATCAACAGATGGTAGTATTCTCAGATAATGAACCTCTCCAAGAAGTCCTACAACTAAACAACATTCATAAAACAATGTTAACTGAATGGTTCACAGCAAATACCATATACCCGGAAGCTAGGGAACTAACCTATAGTGATTTTCCAACAAAATGGGTTTGGAATAAGCAGCGGAGACAATGGACACCTAGAAAACATGGCAATACGATCGGACGCATGCACTTTGCATATCCTGGATCAGAGGAAAGGTATTATCTCCGTATGCTACTCAATATTATACCTGGAGCAACTTCATTTAAGCATTTACGAACGGTAAATGGCATTATTTATAACTCCTTTAAAGAGGCCTGTAATGCTTTAGGGTTACTTAAAAATAATAGAGAATGGGAGGACTGTCTACAAGAGGCAAGCATTATTCGGTCAGGAGCACAACTACGTCATCTATTTGCCACAATTCTTTTATTCTGTGAACCAACCTATCCAATACAACTCTGGGAAAAATATAAAATTGCGCTCACAGATGATATCCTTGCACAAGCCCGCCATGAAGCTCGAGATTATACTCTAGAACTAAGTGCCGAATATTTGCAAAACAAAGCACTACATCATATTCAATCCATTCTTCGTCAATATGGTAAGGATCTTAGAAGCTTTCCATGTATGCCCACTCCAACTATGCAATTACTACTAATTCATGAAAGTTATCTTATCCAAGAAGAACAACGATATAATATTCTTGCGCTTGCTCAAAAAGTCAATAATGACAAATCACGACTTAATTCTGATCAGCTTTTTGTGTTTAACACCGTTATGCAGGCTGTAAATGATAATAGATCTGCTTCTTTCTTTGTGGACGGACCTGGAGGAACTGGCAAAACATTTCTTTATAATGTTTTGCTAACCGAAATTCATGCTAACGGTTATATTGCCCTTGCTGTTGCCTCTTCTGGCATTGCTGCTCTTTTGCTTAGTGGTGGTTGCATAGCACACTTCCGGTTTAAGATTTCCATCAATCTGAATGAAAGCTCTACTTGCTCGATCTCTCATCAAATGGATATTGCTGTTCTTCTTAAAAAGGCTCGATTCATTATTTGGGATGAAGCACCAATGATGCACCGATATGCTTTTGAGGCTGTAGATCGAACACTTCGGGATCTAATGAAAGTAGTCAATCCAGTTTTAGAATATGAGCCTTTTGGAGGAAAGATTTTTTTGTTTGGAGGAGATTTTCGCCAAATATTACCAGTTGTACCAAAAGCCAGCCGTAAAAACATTGTAGATGCATGTCTCCAACGATCCTATCTATGGCAATATATACAAGTAATGTTCTTAAAGACAAATATGCGGTTATGGCAAAATAATAAAAATCCGGATGTTATTACTCAATAGGAATTCGCTAATTGGTTACAACAGCTTGGAGAGGTATATATACAAACAGTTAATCAGGAAGAAGATATAATAAGGCTGCCTATGAATATTGTCATATCATCTCAGGATATCCAAGATCTAATTAACTTTGTATATACTGATCTTACTGCTCAATATAACAACTCTGAGTATCTGGTATATCGAGCAATCCTAGCACCCAAAAATGATGATGTTGATATAATCAATAATGCCATTATGCATGCATTCCTAGGAGAAACAATAACATACTTTAGTGCAGATTCTCTTGATGATAACAATTAAATACATATTTATCCCGTTGAGTTCCTAAATTCTCTGAATATGGGAAACCTGCCTGCTCATAAGCTTTTACTCAAAGTTGGTGCTCCGATTATGCTATTGCGCAACCTGAATGTTGCAGAAGGTCTCTGCAATGGAACTCGATTAATCTGTTGTGAACTTCAACAACATGTTATTTATGCCAAGATTATTACAGGTGCAAATGTCGGAAAACATGTATTCATTCCTCGCATCACACTTACCACTTCCGATTTGAACTTGCCTTTTGTTCTTAAGCGTCATCA